TGACTTCTTTCTCTACTATTATGCCTAATAACTTACCAGCAGAATATTTCTTCCTTCCCCAGCATCCTTGAATTCCACTGGAAAATAATTTCACCAGGGAATAAAAAAAAAAAGTGGTTCAATTTCATTAGAAGATAAGACTGGCACCTGCTGTTGTGGTCCCATATGTCTCTAGTTGCAGTTCTTAGAAGTTTATTGAGTCTTGTTTTATGATTCGTCACATTTTTTCTCTTGGTTCCATTGGCACTTAAAAGGAAAGTGTATTTTGCCATTGATAGTTGGAATGTTCTATAAATATCATTATGTCAAGTTGACTAAAACTATGGAACAGCTGTTCTATGTGCTTGTTTTCCGTCTACTCATTCAATCAATTGCTAAGAGACGAGTACTGAAATCTCCCATCTGAATTGAGGTTTGTCTTTTTCTCTTTCCTAACTTAGTTTTTATTTATTTTAGAGATCTATTATTAGGAACATAAGCGCTAAAGATTGTCCCATATCACTAATGAATTAGTCCTTTATTTTTCATGAATATATGTATGGTAATTTTTCTTGCCATCTATTTTGTCTGATAATAATTTTTAAATGAAAGTGAAAGAAGACATTTCTTGATAAGCATTTCTTCACTACCAGAAATGCTAAAGGAAGTTCTGGAAGGTATAACCTCTTCAGAATAATTATTTTATTTTATTTATCTTCCTCTATCTTTTTCTTTCTTTTGTCCATCATGACAGTGCCTTTTCATTGAAAGTCTTAATATATTTAGGTTGAATATAACTATTACTACAGCTGGGTTTAAGCCTACTGTCCTGTTATGTTTTTCCTATTTTGTCCAACTTGTTCCTCCCTTTTTACTTCTTTCACATTAAATAAATACTTTGTAGTATTCTATTTTATTTCTCATTTGCCTTCTAATGCTCTATGGGTTAACATGCACATTCCAAATTTACTACAACCTTTATTAAATTTAAATTGTACCACTTGTTAAATACAGGCATCTAATAACAGCATAATTACATTTGCCTCTTTCCTTTTGCTATTCTTGTCATAGTATGACATCTTTATATATCATTAGCTTCATAAGATACTTTTCTTTAAGTGATAACATATCCTTTAAAATAATTGATAGAAAAAAAATCAATCAAGATAATCCTTTATATTTGCTATTTTTAATGACCTCTATTCCTCTTTGTTATTCTTGAACTTACACTGATGTCATATCCCTTCAATCAGAAGAACTTTTGTGGACATTTCTAATACATAAATTACCTCAGTTTTCACTTAACTGAAACTACATTTCCTTTACCATCATTTTTGAGCTATATTTTGGCTGGATATAGAATGACTAAAAGTGCCATTCAATTGTTTTCTGATAACACTTGTTTCTGACTTAAAGTAACATTATTATTGGTATTTAATGTATATGATGTTATGTAAATTGTCCCTTTAATCTTTTGACTTTTAAAATTTTTTATCATTAGTATTAAAGATTTGACTCTTGTATATAGATTTGATGTATTTTTTATTTATCTTGCTTAGAATTCTTTGAGATTCTTGAATCTATACATGCATATTTCTCAGTAATTTGGGGATAGTTGGTCAGTATGTCTTCAAATATTTCCTGTTACATTTTTCTCTCTTTCTGAGACTCCAGTTACATGGACATTAGAATACTTATATTAATGCATTATGTAGACAGCTTTTAATTTGACCACGGATCACATTTTTCTGTTTGTTCTCATGTTGAACATTTTGTAATTGCTACTAGGTATTACAGATAACACATTACAGATGTTCTGAATTCACTCATCTTGGACATTCACTACCTTAGACTAGGTACAATCTCAAAAAGTCTCCCTGCAACACAGTATTTGGATTTGTCATATCATGAGTGAAAATAATGCTAATAAGATCTTATTATCACTTACCTAGCACCCATCACATTGGAAATTCCCCAATGCTATCACCCTCCCACAGAACTACGCTGCACCTGCTCATACACACACATTCCCAGGTCAGTAGCAACAACAAAACAGAGTTTGTCCTTTAAATATACTTTTCGAAGTTAAGCCCCATGTGCCACGTATATTCATCTACCTTTCACTTGATTTCCTATCTCCTGTTTAGTATCTTCTAAATCTCCCTCCCTTCTCTCTATCCTCCCAGAAACATTTGTCTCATTAAGAAAATATTTTACTCTACTTGTGATTGGGAGTGCTGCAACTATGTTCTCCCCTAACCCATCATGCTTTGCAAGTAAGGAATGCTGAAGGACATCAGATGGAACTGGTCTTTCTCTAGAGAAACTGCAAAGTCAACACTGAGAAAATCATATTTTGGCACTTTTCATATCTATAATCTGCCTCATAATTTTTCTTAAATGGTAACTTTTGAAACATCTTAATTCTTGGCTTTATAGGGCATGCTATCCAGCTATCAGTTTTGAACTTGTTATTGTTCTGGTTATGGCTAAAACAACCTGGTGTTAATCCAGTTTCCTTCAAAAAGAAGATTTTTTTCCTTCAGCCAGTTTTAAGTGGTTAATTAGTAAATAAATAACAGCTGCACTTATGGAGCAAGTGAGAACTGCTGATAGGCAACAACAACGTAAAGTATGTTCCTAAGATTATCATCTCTACTCAGTTATTTTCAATTAGTTTACTTTAACTGAGGGGGTTTACTTTAACTGAGGGACACTTATAAAGCATTTACCTTTAAAAAAAAAAAGTGGAAATCCATGGAAAAGATCATAAAGTGAATGTCTACACATTCATCTACCCAAAAGTATGTTAAACACCTACTATTTGCCAGGTTAATATTTAACAAGACATTGGGCATAGAGATGAATAAAATGTTCCCTCTCGGTCCTACTTTTCTGGGCTGTGTGCTCAGGCTCCTCCCTGCTCCTTGTTCAGCCCTCTTCTCTCTGGGGCTTTAGTTGACCCACTGTCACAACAAGTTAATTAAATATGTCTCGATGAGTTCTTTTCTGACCTTCTAAATAGAGTTGATTCACTCTTTTTTTTTATTTTTGTACAGCACCTCAGCCCCAAACAACTGTGTGTGTGTGTGTGTGTGTGTGTATCTATATGGAGCAAGTGTTTTTGCTATTTTAGTGTCATCCTCATTGCACTGTGAGTAACTTCAAAGTCTCCACATTATTCACTATTGCAATCCTGGAGCTTGTTAACCTTGACACACGATACTGTAGAAATGCACATAGATTGGATGGGTACATGAAAACTGTGGGCACTTTTTTGGTAAACAAAAAAAGTGAACAAAATAAAACTGAAAGAGTAGATATAATTGTAACGCACAAGAAAAGAAAGATAGAACATGGGCAGAACAGGATGCTGGAAAATGATGATGACACTACAAAAACAATGAAGATAATGAAGATAGTCTTGAGTTGGCTAGAAATCTAAGTACTATGCACAGATTACAGGAGACAGCAATACAACAGTCACTGTTCCTGATTCAAGCTATTGGTGGGAAGGATCATCTATGACCAGAGGCCCATTCATTCACACTGTGATGCTTCTGTACAAGCTGCTTCTTCTAACGAGTCTAACTAACATCCTACAAATGGTGTGCTACAACTAACATTATTACTGGGTGTTCATGCAAATGGTTTAGAGGAGTACAGGGTGTTTAAACTGTTAGGGGAGGAGGGATGGGAGAAGGCAAGAGACTCCTCAATAAAAAGAGTGACTTCTGATGTCTGCCTCTCACCCCTCAGGCTCCCGACCGAGAAACATATCTTCATTGTCTTAACTTAGTGAAAAAAAAAAAAAAAAAAACATCAGTGCCCACACAGGCAAAAATGGGCAGGCCAAAGAACACTTCTCTAAGAGAATGTAAGGAAATTTAGGGGCAAATGATCTATAGAGTAGAGGTTGGGTCACATTTCTGCTAGGATTTTAGGGAATATTTATACCAGAGAAAACTCTTCTCTGGTGTAAAAGGTACATTCACACTTGTATTCACAATTTGGTGAATAATTAAAATGTTCAAAACTCTCTAAAGTTCATCCATGTATACTCAGCTAAAACATGTCTTCTAGAGGGATCTCAAGAGCTGGTAGATCAGGAAGACACCATGTTCCTGTGGTGAAAGCTGGTCATGAAGGTCACTATCAAAGAGGCTCAGTTTTCAGCCACTGACCCCCCCACATGGGGCTTGGTGGAGCAGCCCCTGAGCAGCTGCATCAAGATGATTTCTGTGACTCAGAACTGAGGGATAGAAACTGATGTGGGAATGGGTAACCAGGGGGCCAGATGTTCCCACATCTGTCTCTTAGTATTTTCCAGCTCTGGCTCAGAGTAGAGATAAACTCTAATAGGAAGATCCATAAGCCCAACTATTCCCACAACCTTCCTCACTGCACATATAAAATGATGTAATATGGTTATGCTTAGTTTGACATAAATAAGTATCTGAAGAAACATGAATTTTTTCACTGTTTATTAAGAAAAGGGGGATTTCATAGCATTTTCCTTAGACTCTGGAATCAGTACAGCCGACACCTAAAATAACTACTTCAGTGTCACTGAAACTACTACATAAAAATTAAAAATCTAAAAGACTTCCATAGGTTAACGAGAGAAAAGTCCTTGTGAAATGTGCGTCTGGATAAAAGTGCAGTGACAGAGAAAAGTCACCAGTCTGTTCACTCCCTGCTTAGCCTCCAGCAAACTGCAGAGATGTTTGCTTGCATGCACAAAAATGCACACTCAAGGAGCTGACATTGCTGGATAATGACAGAGAACCCTTTTCTGATGAAGCTGTTCGTGTTTCAGTCAGCAAATTAAGGAGACCCTTCTGGAATGACTGTTGCAGGGAAGTGATTTAACTCCTGAGAATGAAAGGCCTGCCCGCACTGTCTCTGCAGTGTATTCGCCTAAGACACTCCCACACCTGTTCCAACTGCCTCTCCTTACATCTCTTCACTAGACTAGGTCAAGGATGTGGCAGTTTGAGAGGATTTCGAAACTGAAATCCTCAGGCACAAAACGAGTAGTCTTCACCCAGCTTGGAAGGATTCTCATATCTGGTAATGAAATTCACCAGAACAGAAACCTCACTTTCTGCTCTGTCCATAGAACATGAAAAAGAAGGGCATTTATACTTTGACGTTACTCTTGGCATTGTACATGGTGAACCTGTGCATTGTAGCATGTTTATGAGTAGATCCACTGGGCTACAAATCACGTGGCAAGGTGATTCAATCTGGTAAGCATTTCTGCCCAAAGCTCTGCTCCAGGCATTCTTGACCTCCCTGTTCCTCAGACTGTAAACAAGAGGGCCCAGCAGGGGGGTGGTAAAGGTATATGTCAGAGAGATATGGTCTTTTTCTATTGAGTTCTCCAACTTGGGCTTGGAGGTAGTTAATGGAGCCACAGTCATCAGAGACAACACAATGAGATGGGAGGCACAGGTGGCAAAAGTCCTCTTCCCACACTCAGTTGAGATTTGAGGATGGTGGAAATAATGGGGATATAGGTGATGGAATTTAGACCTACAGGCACAAAAACGACAAATGAATTTATTCCATAATTGATGATCTCATTGATAGTGATATCTATGCAAGAAAGCTTCATGACTGAGTAAATGTCATGGAAGACATAGTCCACCACTGAGTCTCTGAAGAGCAAGTTGACTATGACAGTGACATGGACAACTACTATCACAAGACCAGTAGTAGGACCCACAGAATAATCTAGCACACACTCCTTTGCTCATGATAACTGTGTAGCTCAGGGCTTTTCAGATAGCTATGTAATGGTCAGAGCTCATTGCTAAAAGCACATTGTTTGTGGCCAAGATGACAAAAAAGAATATCTGGGTTGCACTGTCTACTGAGGAGATGGACTGCCTATGAAAAATAAGACTGGAAAACATCTGTGGGACATTGACAAGTGTATACACAGTCTCTAAACTGGCCAGCATGTTCAGGGAGCACCCGGGCATGTGAAGGTGACAGTCAACATAGATGATAGTTACAGTGATGATGCTACCAGCTGGAGTTAAAATGAGGAGAGGATGGTCATAAAGAGAGCTCTCTGGTGCTTCCCAAAGCTAGAAAATACTAGGAAAATGAATTCTATCACTTCTGTGAAGTTTTTTCTCTTCATTCTGCTTCATCAATGTCTGAAAGCAATAAGGACTGAATTCCCAGCTGCAATTAGACTTTTCAGTGCGTGATGAGAGGAGAGATAGTGGTCCCAACTCCTTCATCCTTACCTTGCACATAAAAAGAAGAGTACTTGTGTATCTATGGGACTAATACATGTGAATTTTCTCCATGTAGAACAAACTACTTCCTGTGTGTGAAGGCTTTCGACAAGTATCCTCCTTACATATGTGCTGATGCTAGGAAGGGGGAGAAGACATCAAGGAGGAAGTCACATCACATCCCAGTCAGTGGTGATATCCTCCTCCTAAAACACTATTCACCAGCGGGAATACTACCAACATGTGTGTGAAGAAAAGCATTAAGATGAGAACTTCAGTGGGACATGACACAGCAGAATGAAATATTCAAGGAAGAAACACTTTGAGAAGTGGTCAGGGGATTTGGTGACATGGTAAACCAAGGACTTTTATGCAGGCTTTCAATTGTCTTCTAGTTGTGAATCTGGAAACCTAATTTCAGAGATACTGTGGTCCAAGCATGTCATCATACCCTAATGCAGACCTGCATGACTACAGAACAATTTCTGCTGTCATCCCATCACTGAAATTATTCACTCGAGTCCCACCAAAGAAACCTTTTTTGCTGATTCCAACAGTTCTCTCAAAGAGTGAAGTTGAGAGAAGAGACCATAATGGAGGAAACATTGCTAATTTCCACTAGCAGGAAAAGTTTAGGTCATTCAAGCTATGGAATGTAGGTGTCAGAGTGAAGAGGAGGAGGAAGAAGCCTCTAGCTACTTGGGGCCGAATGGCCTTACAGAGCTTAAAAACTGGTGAAGACAGGCTTTGACTTTATTATGAGAGACAGACCACACTGTCCTGCCTGTCAAAAAGCAAGTCACACCGATTGGGTGGACAGCGTGCTGCTGATTCTGCGTTTCTCCATAGAGTGACTGTTCTTTGTTCTCTCTCTTTTTATTTCCAGAATTACGAAAATAAATTTCCTTTTCCAACTCCTATCATCCCCTGAAAGTTGGCTTTATCATGCTCACTCTCATGAAACGTCTCTCAAATCTAGCCAAAGAAATCGCCATTGCTAAAAGCTGTCAGATTTCAATTTTTTTTTCTCCTTTTTCTTGTTTTTCTCTGAATCATTTGACACTTCTGAAAACCCTGCCTCTGGGAGGCATCCTCTGACCTTGGTTTCCATGACACCACACTATTTTTCTCTTTTCCCAGAGCTCATTTAGCTACCTTGAAATAAACTGCTTATTCTACCTATTGTAAATATATAATTATATTCTGTTCTCTGGTCAAACTCTGTCCTCCCCCCTCTCTTCTCTCATACTTTCCTTACTTTTTTCAGTTATAATTTCCATGTTGATTGCTTTCGAAGTTCTATTTGCATCATCAATCTGTTTCCCAAGCTTATGGTGGATTTCCCTCTGGACTTTTCCACTTGCAAACAGAATAAATCTTATACTTTCAAGAGCAAGCTCAACATCTACCCTTCTTACATTCAGAAAAAAATATTCTGTTCACCAAATGTGTGGAGTTTTTTTCCTGTAACAAGCAATTCTCTGTGATACCAGCTGGGTGTCCAAAAATTCAACTCAATTCTGACACCATCTACAAGGAAGTAGCATCAAATCTCATACACTAAGAACTTAGTCCTACAGAAACCCCCACCCATCCTCCAACACTTCAGACATCAGTCTCAAGCCTGGTGTGTCATCAGCACTCCTGACCAGCCACCTATAGATTTGGATGTTCCAACAATCCCCTCCTTGAATTTGATTAGCTTGCTAGAGCAACACACAGAACTCAGAGAAACTTTGCTGACCAGACTGCCAGTTTGTTGTTTAAAAGGATATAACTCGGAAATTATCAGCAGGAGGAGATGCATAGGACAGGTATAGAGAAGACACAGAGCTTCCATGTCCTCCTCAGTTACTCTATCTCCCCAAATCTTCACACGTTTACCACCGTGGAAGCTCTCTGGACCTGGTCCTTTTCAGTTAGTATGAAAAATTTATTATATGAGTATGACTGATTAAACCATTGGCCATTGGTAATCAATTCATCCTCCATCCCCTGACTAATCTCCTCCTCCTCCAGAAATTGGGGGCTTGGAACACTAAAAGTTACAGTCCTCTAATCACACTGTTGATTCCTCTGGCAACCAGCACCCATCCCTAGATTATCTTAGGACATTTCAAAAATCATCACATTAACATAATAAAAGGATACTTGTTGCCCTTATCACAGGAAGTTCCAAGGATTTTCTTCCAGAACCAGACCAAAAAACAAATATATATATATATATTTCTTATTACATATCACAACATCATACAACACATATATCTAAACTTGTATTCAGAGTACAAGAATACTTACAACCCAATGTTAAGTCACAGTTTTTTAAAGATTTTTATTTATTTATTCATACAGAACTGGAGTATAGGCCAGAGGCTCAGGGGCGGTGAGAGGATTCACCAGAGACAGAGTGTGGAGCAGAACAGGCATATTGAGGAAGCACATGTGAGGGGAGCAGCGGGCAAGAGATGAGAGGTCTGCTGTGCCCTGTGGGTCACCTCTGAGGCTGGGAATAGAACTTAAGTGGCTGCATTTCGCTTGCAGTGCTGTGCCCTAACCCATTGTGCCACTAAGGAGGGCCACGGTTGAATCTTAAAGTCTCATACTGATCAAAGCAGTTAGACACAAAAGAGTGTAGTCAGATTCTATTTATATGGTGCTCTAGGAAATGCAGCTTTAAAACTGCAAGAAAACAGTACACATGGTACATATGCTTGCCAAAACAGTTCAGGAAGTGACTGCAAAAAAACACAGGGGTAATTTTGGGGCTGAAGGAATTGTCCTTATTATGGTGGTGGTTGTACAGGTATACAAATTTGCCAAAACCCACCAAAAATTCACACTTAAAATCAGCAATTTGTTGTATCTATATTGCATTTATATCATGTGTTATTGTATCATATAATTTACCATGTATTATATATTGGTCACAAATAAGATTCTATCCTACATCTGTCACTCCTATACCCTTAGATGGGCTCATTTGTTGTTAAAAAAAAAAAAAAA